TCATGATGGTGTAATCAAATTTCCACCTGTTTTTTTTACAAATATTTTAACCAGATCCTGCTGGCACCCTGGGAACTATATTGGGCTAACTGTGTAGGGTCACTTCGTACAATATAGCCATAGTATGTCTTTCAAATATATTCGTAACTTTGATTAAATTGGTACATGCTTTTTCTGTTGCATAAAAAGCAAATGTGGTCCTGAAATAAAATGTTAAAATCTTGGGTAGTTAGGGTTGGGCCAATTCAAAGCTCACAACCTAAGTACAATCTTTTGAAATTGGTACATCTCTACCAAGAGCACATTACAAAAAAACATATAGGAAGTTTGATGATGCTAAAGTAATTAAATTAGTATGGGGAAAGGAAGGAGTGTCCCGTAGACATGCAAAATAGATAGTTGGTGAAATCGGCTCTCTATGCTTGTATTTCTTTACAAAATAAAATACTTCTATTCTGCTGACAGTCATTAGTGCTTTTCCTCTTGCTAATTTTGTGGAGTTTCAAATCTTTCTTATATAAGAAGTATGGTATCTACAAGCAGTATGTGTAAAATAACCAGAAAGGAACACGGTAGCATTTCATGGATTGCTTCAGGAAGATTATTTGTGCCTGTGTATACAAGTAGTCTTCAACTACTATTAGGGCCAAAAATCCACTGCAAAGAAAGGTGGTTGGAGAGGTGCGTCCAATTTTAGGGCCTGTTGTTACCAGAGTTGTAAAGTGTATCATTATACTTGGTAACTGGATCCCATGGTCACTGAAGCAAATATGGCTTCCCCCATTGGCATTGCTTGTTAGAAGCCACTGGGAAGGTCACCAACAGTGATTACATAACTCCAGGCACTGCAAGCATCATAAATACATGGTGGCTGCCAAGCAACCGGATTTCAGTTACGTGACCAGGGGATTCTATGATGTTTGTAAGTGTGAAGACTGGTTATAAGTAACTTAGAGTCATAAGTCACAAAAATATATTAATATAATGTAAGCTACAACTACGGTAGAAAAATGTGGGATAGACACCATCACCACTAGATGGATTCATAACTGGCTGACAAACTCAATATCTAGTCCTTAATGGAACTACTACTGCTACATGGAGGCAAGTAAGGAGCAAGGTATCTCACGGTTCGGTCTTAGGTCCAGTACATTTCAATATCTCCATAAACAATTTTGATGAGGGAATAGAAGGGGAACTCATTAAATTTGCGGATAACACCAAGTTGGTAGGAATACCCCAGAAAATAGGCTAAAGATCCAGAGAGATCCTTAAAGACGAACACAGAGCCCTAACTAACAAAATGAAATTCAGTGGTGAGAAAAGTAAGGTTTTACACTTAAGCAAGAAAAACCAAATGTACAAATAGGTGTCACCTGGCTCAATAGCAATAACTGGAGGATGCTGGAGTCCTAGTGGACAATCACTTAAATATGGGCCAGCGGTGTGTGGCAGCCACTGAAAAAGCCAATGCACTTCCAGGTTGCATTAATAGAAGGATAGAATTCACATTATGTGAAGGGTTAGTACTGCTTTATAAGGCCTTAGTATAATTGAGTCAAGTTTTTGTTGCCACTGTTGGAAGAAATATCCTTCTGGGTTCAGTTCCAAGTGGGGAAAAAACATGGAGGCTGTTTGGAAAGATGGTGTAATGGTGGACAGCGGGACCACAAGGCTTGGAGCTTCAAAGTGAAAAGGACGATCACATGCTTCAAGGTGAAGGAAAAGAGAAGAAAGGGCTGAGATGCTGAGGGTGCTTGGTTTTATATCCTCTGTTGAGATTTGAATTTGAGCTTGTATTCTGATTGGCTGTCAGACTCCCATGGGGCCATGGAGGGGCAACTCTGTAGGCTATCCTGAGTCCCAGGCTTGGTTGAGCCTTGCTGGATGATGATGTAATAAAAAGGGCTTTGGGCAATTGCTACAGCTTTACCTGGAGATCTTTGTTATGTAAAATATTCTGGCCCAGGCCTTAATGGTCCACCCATTAACATAGGTGGAGGTGAGCTTCGGCTTCTGAGGTGAGTTTCTGCTTCTGAGTTTCTACTCTTTTCAGGGGAAATTTTCTGCCTTTTTAATATTTCCGAGGATATTTCAATTTTCTAAGAGAAGAGTGGGTGTTAACTTCCTACACCACAAAATAAAAAAAGTCAAAGCTCACGCTGAAGACGCTGAAATGTTGAAGAGTGCAAAGGAAAGCCACAAAGTTGATTAAGGGGCTAGAGCCCAAAATATATGAAGAACAGTTGCAGGAACTGGGTATGTCTAGTCTAGTGAAATGGAGG